TCAAAAACCCGTGTTTTATCAGAATATAAAACATAGAAAAAGCGTGTTTTATTGTTTTTCGCCACATTACCTCTATCATAAAGCAAATGAAGAAGCCTAAGCCTCGTTAATTACACTGCAATAAAATACTCCGGGCATTTGAGAACACTCGAGAAATGTAGAAAACACTCGTCTGCGGCTCGTGTTTCCTACATTTCCCTCGTGTTCTCAAATTCCCGTCGTGTTTTATCACAGTGTAATACACGGCTTAGGCTTCTTTATTTGTTAAATATTCCTCCTAATAACACGACGTAAAGCGCCCTTCATAAACACGTAAGAAACAAAGAGAGACTGAAAAGAAAACGGAAAATGTACAAACGTTCCCTTGACAGAGAACCTGGGAACGAGGTTGTCGCGTGGCAACTTGATCCGAGAGGAACTGGCACTAAAAATACAAAATGGCGGCTTGACAATGAGAAGTAACGTGGCAAGTCTTTCTTGATTTGGCTTATTATTTGAGAGGAATTTTAACCTTCAAATGGGTAAAAGTTTTAGTTTCCTCAAATTTATTACTTTTTTAATGATCTGAGTCGATCCGAGTTGATCCGACCCAGACTGGCGGTCCGAGTGATCCGGTCCGACTTTTGTACCTACATGTATCTCTAATATTGAAAGACACAGCACGATTAAGTGTCCAAAGGAATTTGATCCCGATGTATTGAATACTTTTGGTGCGACGCGAGTTTCGCTATGGTTTGTGTCCATTCTCCCACGACTCGCTTCCATCGAAGAAAAGCCAGCCATATCTCTCGTTTTTGATCGGGAACATTTTATACATGGCACATTCCATTCATTCGTTGCGTTTTCGAATTTCTCCGGCGTAGTGTGGCCTTAGCTGGAACGAAAAGATTTGATGGATTATAAGGCACGTTAGGCTCTGAATACAGGTTTTATGTACACACTTAAGTTTTTATGACTTAGTATTTATAATATTCTAAACGTCATCGCATCTGGAAATGACTATTTATATAACAGAAAAGTTATAACAGAATCTTACGTGGCGAGTTTGTACAATCTCTTTTTATAAGTTGGGTTTATTAGGAAGTTTTGCAGAATACAGCTAAACGCAAGTTGGCATTCCATCAAACATAACTCCCTTCTCCACATAGGCTATTACCATTGTGTTTTTTTTTTTTTTCGCATTTTTTGTTGGAAAAGAGTAAATGAAACCAGCAAGCGCTGTGCAGACATGAGCAAAAATGTTCTTGGTTCTTCGTGAAATTTAGAGGTGTTTGACTGAGGGTCCCACTAAAAATTTAACAATTGTTTAACAGATTTTAACGGAATCTATGACGGATACCAGAAAAGGACGAGAAGAATTAAACATAACGATAACGTCCTTTTTAATGGAACTCAAGCAGCAGGTTAAAAACGTGTTTACAAAATGATCTGAACCTCGTTGCCCTTGCTGGTCGTAGCAGCCTTTTAACAAAATTCTGCAAAATTTTCGAATCCATAGTTCTTCTAACAAAGACCTGGATTGTTCGATCCGTTATAACTCCATGGAATGTTTCTATTTTTCACAAGCAAAAACTGAACCCGTTAACACTGAGTAGGTCATTGGTGGAATAAAAGACCTGAACTAAGCTGTGCAAGGTAGGATTAAGCTAATCTGCGTTGAGCGTCAACGTTTTTAGTGTTACATGTATCTCAAAAAGAAACTTAGACTTTACGATTAACGTTGACCAACTTGAAATTCCAACCGGGTTGTTCAAAGCCCGATTAAGCTAACCCCGGATTAGCGAGCATTTTGATTTCAGTTTTGTAATTTTTCAGTGAGATTTTCTGAGAT